CTAGAATCCAATTAGATGATTAGAGTGTTCCATGGCTGATATTACCTTTCAACCTTAGATGCCTTTCATTTATTTTATACTCCAGCTCCTACAAAGGCCTGAAGCCTAAACACCCATGGGGTACCATGGGGCTATAGGGGGATGCAAGGGAAAAGGGGGGACGCCACACGGACTCTGGCGAGGGAACACGTGTGCATACAGCATACACACATTCTGGCTCCGCCTACGAGATCCGCAGGGTGGTACTTCCACGTACGACAGTGAGAGACCGTCTATCACCTACGGACAATCACATCCATAGCCAAGAAAACATTTCTCTTGGGACGGGATTCGAACCCTCGCAGGAGACGAAGTGTCTACCACTGCGGCCACCGCTGCTGCCACGTCTTTGTATAATGGTCACCGATAGTTAGGCACTTAGGTATTTTCTCAATTACTATGACAATTAAATTGTTCGTAACTGGGCTTAGATGTGGAACCTTTCTGAAGAAATGGCACCACAGTAACACTTTTGATAGTATGCTACCTTGAAGTTCAAGTTAAAGCTCTTCTATTTGCGAAAATTCTGAGCTTGTTGATGAGAATCTCGCATCTACAGGTATACCGGAAATTACTTATTTCATAAATACATTTTCATGGAAATATCAATGTGCAACGATAAATTAATCAGATCCATAGATCGTCTGACAGGTTCATTAAAATGTTGAGAGATGCTCTTAAAGCCTGGTATAAATCATGATTAATGTTTTTGCAATTATTTGACCGCTACATGCAAGCGATTTGTCCGCGTGCGCGCCTTAATTTGGAATCTTCCACACATCTGCAATGTCTAATAAAAGGTCAAATTGATCGAGTTCCTTAGTTTTTATGTATTAGGAGATAACAATATTTATAGTATGGAAACCCATGTATCATGAGATGTCTATCAAATGGTAACGAATGCATATTTCTGAACGTCAAGTCTTCGGTGAGACCCATCAAACAACAAAATCTCGATTATACAGATTGGACTCAAATTCCATAGGATCATGAGGGTAAAAAGACTATATATGGCTACAAAATTCTGCCAGGAAAAATATCTCTAGACACCATTACCGGACGTGAACAATTTTGAGTAAACATTTTTATTGTCTCTAGGAACGTAGGAATTCCATCTAGGTTTTGATTTCATGGAAAGTGTTTCAAAAAGTGTCTGTCATCTTTGCGTGCACAGAGGATCCTGGACCATAATTTCTGCAAAATTAGTTGGAACCGCTGTCCATTCAATCAACGTTGATCAAGTTAATTTTGCTGTGCTATTTGTACAAATTACGGCCTATTGTCATCAATTAATATGCTTTGTCGATTTTTACATACCACGTCCTATACAAATAGTGTAACATTTTATGTACTTTGTTATTCATATTGATTTATTGTTTGTCTGGAAATCGACAGGAAAGTGACCTAAGACCATCAGGAACTGTATTAAGGAGATGTGCAACGCAGCGTTCTCCTTTTTTTCATGCGCGTTTTAGTTTTTCTACCACGGGATTTTCCAGAAGACTGGAGGTCTCTCATATCCCATCCAACACAGCCCTACTGACGTGTCTCCTATTCTCCTTTTCGGTCGCAGACAACAAAATAGCGGAATCAAAATGGTCAACTATCTTCCGTGACATGAGTTTCCTATAACATATTATATCTTTGAGTTCCTGAGGTAGTTAATCATCAATTAGATGTCAAATTTTACATAGAAAAATAGCGGACCGTTTCTCGGAAATGCAGCTGAACTTCGTACATTTAGGTTGCCGTTGTTGTTATGAATACGATGTCAGATCGCCTTCAAAGAGAATGCCAAACTGTTGAATCCAAAAAGTGCAAGTGGACTCTTGTTATTCTCGATGTCGACATAAGACATTTACTAAAACAAGTTTTGTAACGAGACTAAACCCTAAAAAGTCTCTAAGTAAGAACCAAAGTCACATGATCAGTGATGCCCGATTGCACATTTGAGCGTTTTAAGCAAGGTTAACTCAGCAGAGTCGAAGAATTCCAGAGAATTGGCGTATAATGTTTTGTGAGCTAATATTGGCGTGGTTCTGCTTCTAGGTCTTTAGGTGTTACTCAATACGTATCGCCAACCTGCTGTTATAGATGGTTATAGCCCATTTGGTGTTCAGGTAGGGACGAAATATTGATCATGTGATCAGGGCTCTGATAAGACAAAAGATGGAATATGCGCCTCCCACAAATAAAACTAACCCGTAATCAAAATATTTTTTATTAAAACGAATACAGACAAATAACTACATTCATACAAAAGTTATGAATATACATTGTAAACAACAGTAAGTAGTAACAGCAAATTTAAATTTAATATGCGTAATCTTAGCCATCGGAAATCCTTTTATCATGTTATCTACAATAATATGTTGTTTCCAATATGTCTTGTTCAATTGACACAAATGCAAGGCCGCTTGGTGAGGGGAGGCTGTATAGTGAGGCTGGTTAAATAAGCAATTTGGGGTTAAACAATTTGAATTGTGAGCAAAATCATGTACTATTTCGCGTAGGGCTCCGAAAGATGTATGGTATCATGCTGATTTTGTGAATAACTTCTTTTTCATAAGGTTATACCTAAACCACAATTTTATTATATAACTTTATGAAAACATAATTTATTTTCACAGGTTTAACTCTTAGTGCTTTACGCTTAATATTATTCGATTTAGTTTAGTAACAAAAGAGAAATATCTGCCTGAAATCCAATTTTTTCTAAATCGCTTAGTTGACTAATCAGTATCATCAGCTGAATCTACACCGACTCCTTTTAATCCCTTAATCGAGGCTTGCGCCCCTATGATACTGCAGCTAATTTGTTTTATGACATGGTGCTTAGCCTTCACACATCTACTCATACTCTTATTGGAGTTTAATCAGAACCACACACGAGAATGTTTGATTCGATGTGAAGTGCTGAGTAGAAGTAATGATATAACTGAAACGAAGGATCAAGAACTCCGTAAACATATAAAACCGTTGTCACACTCCCAAAGTAAAGAATATAACGTCTAGAACATTTTCATTCGAGACATTAAATGAAGGATGTCACGCTCACATGCACGTAACTTCTTTTTTTATGCCGAAGCAGCCGCACAGGCACAAGCCGAAATAGCAGGGTACCGCTGCTGCTATGAGGAGCTTAAAGAAACTTTGTTAATCCGATTTTTGAACTGGTTAGTAGAACTGGGAAAAGCCTCCTCGGGCAAACTGTTTCACAATTTCGATACTCTAGGGACAACGGAACGGTCATACTGGTCAGTTATGGATGTTCTGAGTTCAATATCGTTAGAATTTTCCTTTAGGCTAGGTTGGTCGGTTTGCTGAGCATTCAAAGACAAACATATGACGCGCAAAGCATTCCGATCATGATGATTTGAAGTGTAATCTAAGTCGTATTACGACTGGAGTAATTTTGGAAAAGTTACCAACAAAACAGGGCAAATTAATGTGGCTCACAAGTATTTTTGCTATCTAGTCTCCTCACCCTGTGTAAGGCTCAAATAAGTCCCGACTTGGAGTAATGTTCATGTTTACCAATAGGGTATTCATGTTTTAACAATTCTTCCGAAAAAAAGTATTATACAGGTGTAACTGATGTCTGCAAAGTATGTGCTCAGCACCAACATCTACTTTGTACACTGACTACGTAGACATTTCACGAATAATCAGTTTTTTATGCGCAAAAGGTGGGAAGAAAGCTGCACATGCAAATAATTCAAGAGGCATTACTCATCCAAGAATGAAGTGATTAGGCATTTGATTATACTATAACTCCTTCTCTATCTGCGAGTGACGTAACTTATTTACGATTAGCAGTTGTCTCAGAGAAAATATTATTTTGCAGACGGTGTACGTTTTGTCTCGCTTACGCAAGGCCTTGAGGCCTTAGTATGCAAAAATCTGCAATATATTTCAGTCGCAAACAACATATTCGTCGCAAGCATATTGTGGTGGTGGAACTTCTTCGGTATCTAATACGTTGCAAAATGCACAGTAAACATTAAATTGGGATGCGCTGCTTAGCGGGTCCACTTCTAGTCCAAAAAGACTGATGTTATTGTACTTCATATGATGATGTTCGTTACACAAAAATGATATCTATAGTTTCTAGCTAGCATAGAAATGCTCTATATCCACTGACCAGATTGACTTTTCTAAGAATGCTTCCCAAATCCTAACTATGTTTCTAGACATAGTCAAGTACTACAGAAGGTGAAGGTCGATTATCTTGAAAGACTAGAGACCAAGGGCTGTGACTTTGCACTGACGGAACCGTGTTTAAACAAATGAATAAGTGACATTGAGCAAGTGCAAAAAATCGCTCAAACCTTTGGTAGACATTTCTATGGACAGCAGAGCGATATCTGCCTCCAAGCGTATAGAAATGGACCCTAATCTAGTTAGAATAGTCTCCAGGTGAAGGAAATGTCGTCCCACGAATCCAGAACTTTTGATATTCGGCAAGATGGGGTTTAATTGAAAATAAGTACATTGGTCGCTTTTTTGAAAAGTCTGACAGGTTCGGCAGAAGTTATTTTGGTATTAGCTACACTGACGCTAGTATTCAGTTAATACTTATCATTGCAGCTGATTGAAAATACCAGTATAATAGCTAATGAAAGAGTTCCATTGTTCGTTAACATTTTGAGCTAGAATTTTATATATCAACTCCCAAAAGAAACTCAATAAATTGCTTCTTGCTACTCTCAGAAAAACATCTCTTATATTCAAGTTGATTTGTTTGGCTCGAAACAACTACTATTATTATTTTTTTGCATAATGATCAGAAAGTCTAAATGATAGCTTTGACTAGTAAACATATTATCAATACAACTTTAATGTTTTTCTGTTCCCTTGAGATTGTTTGTTAAGGTCATACCTATGTATATCAAACGTTTTTGCTACAAAATAGTTATAATACGAGGCAAAAACTTGAATCGATTTTTCTCAATTTTCAGTATTGAAGAGAATAATAGGGCTATAATAGAAGAAAGAAAACAAGACAGAAAATTTAGTGAGATTATCGTAAGCTGTAGGTCGTTAAGTCACTATGAAGGAAGAACATTTAAGACCTTGTTACCACAGGTGAGTACCAAAACACTGATTCATCATATCCATCCTGATATCATTCTGGTCAGAAAATGAAACCACATAGTCGAAAAACATGTCTTCTGAACAAACTAGTAATATGGCTTGTGAACAGACGGCCAACTATGGAAAACTGAGCAACTACCATACATCCAGCTTTAGTTCATTTTCCTACCTGAGAATAAAAAGTTTTTTCGTCCTTGGCATAGTAATAATCTTGTGTAAAAAATACATCCAAATCCGTGCTATACTTCAAGTCACAGACGGGTAAAGGATTAGCGGAAAAAAGCCCGACAGACAGACCGGACAGATTGACCAACAGACAGACCAACGGAGATGAGTAACATGATTTTTCAAGGTGTTACATCTCATATAATATCCAAAAAACATAATATCTCATTTTCGATTTTTTTCGCGATTACAATGCTCCTTCGCTCAATGGCGTAAGTAAAACGCTGCAGCTTTCATCAGATTGCCATTGCTGATTTCTTATTGTTTGTTTTCTTTACTTTCAAATAATGAATGTCATTTATGAATGTACTAATAGTAATATAAAATATTAACCAACAATACTTGATCTGTCCAAATGTAGAGAGAGTTGCTTTACATACATTTTGATAGCCCTGGGTTTTCAAGCGCAAATTCAATAAGGATAAAATAAATTTTGAAATAAAATGAATCTGACATTGAGGTTGGTTTATTTATTTGTCTCAGATTTTGGCAGCCTTTATTGCAGCAGGGTATCACATCGTAGTAGGTATATCTTTAGCATACTCAGCCATTTTGATACCAGCCTTAGATAGGAATGTTACCAACGGAACAGATGATGGAGAAATCACAGCCACAAAAACAGAATGCTCATGGATAGGTAAGTTCTGACAAAAATGTCACCTTTCTTAAACTAAACTCACTTTTTTATATGTAAATATCAAGTAATCATCGGACGTCGGACGGCAATATAAAGTTAAACAAAAATTTATCAAAATGCAATGAAAATTATCTCGGAGCTTTTTTAAAAAATACCATTTATTAAATGGGCTTTGAAAAACATGGCATATTTTTGTAGTTTTTTTGTTTGCCAAAGGCGGCTACGCTGTGGTTACTAAAAACGGCATCAGAAGACAATATCCGTCAAATTGTGTTTTGTTTGGCAAAATCGGGAGAGTCCTAGTATATTAATACTTCTTAAGTCCTCTAACATCATGGAATCAGAACTGAAATTTTCAGATAGTCTGATTCTTTAGCAAAACAGACTTACGCAATCTTATTTCATATCTCTATAACATCACTAGTTTTTTTTAAAGTAAGGAATACAACATAATTTATTGCAGCCAGTGTATTGGTGATAATAATCCCGTTGGGTGCATTATCTGGAGGAGTGATCATGGACCAAGTTGGTCGGCTAAACACTCTAAAATTGGCAGCTATACCAAGCGTTCTGGGATGGTCACTAATCGCAGCTGCCACAAACGTTCCTATGATTATTTTCGGAAGACTCATTGTTGGTTTTGCCTCAGGTATGTATTCATTTCACTAGTAGACTATTTCTTGACAGTTTCAAGGGGTAAATTAATCTGCCAGAATGATGCATTGTCTGGAGTTATTGCGACGCGACGTCGAGATTTTTCAGAAAATCGCATCTTATAGAACTTACATTGCACATGACGCTGTTATGTTTTATGGCTATTTTTCTCGATTTCTAATAGATACCGGCCCATACAGGATTTATTCCAACATGGATAATCGGTTGATACCGATATTTCAAAGTCCGGTAAATCGGTGCTACCGGTCTACTGGCCATTCAGCTTTTTCTGTACATAATGAAGAAACCGGGTATGAACACACTGGCCCTTACGGCTGCAACACGAATATGTAAGTGTCAAAGTTTAGCAGAGGCGAAAACCTCTATTATGGAACCGTCTAAGACAACGTACTACAAGAAATCAGTTTTAGTTTAACGCCCCCATATAGAAAACTCTTCCATCGTCAATAGTCTAGTTGAAACTTTTTTTAAGTAGGTTTTAAATATTCAACATTCTATTAGACCAAAAAAATGACTCTATATTCTATATTTGTTAAACTTCTTATACAGGCGAAATCGCTGTCCGCCACGTTTGACCCATGTATTAATGACCTCTGACGGCATATCATATATCTGTAAACAGTAGCTGTCAGCAGCATAATCTCTCAAACTTTTGAAATAGACATTACAGGAGTTTAGATCGCTAAAAAGTTGAGACAATAACACTAGCATGTTGTTTTCTGCATAATATTCTCTCAACACATAGTAAGCGTTATATAGAAATTGATAATGAAAGCTGTAACTTAGATTGTTTTTCTCAACTAGGAGGAACAAGATATGCTTCGGAAGCTGTTGACATTAGAAACCTATTATGCAGGTATTTTGGTACTACTGGATAAGTATCTTTTTGAAATAGGGCTATAGGAATTCAATAAAGATGTTCATACATTTTGTCTTTTTTATTGCATCTCTTAACAATTTTTGTATCTCTATATAATAATCTTTCTTAATATCATCATTCATGATTTTTTTGAATTGTCTAACCACAAACTGACCCATGAGATCATCTGCTGTGGCTATGGCAGCAGTTTCGCTTCCCTGCAGAGCTGCAGATAGGCCGCCAAGGCTAGCAGAGTAATCTTTGAGCATCTGAATTTTATTTTTCTTCATCCTTTCGAGTGTGCTGCTACCACTTCTTGTATATGGTACGGCTCGAATGTCATTTGTGCATGGTCTTTGTAGGATGTCAGGATTTTCAGAAAGACCAAAGACATCCTTAAATGAATATCAATTATTACAATGATAGGATCGAGTCTTAGATAATATTTTCTTACCTGTTTAAAAAGAAAGCAGATATTATCTAACGAAAATAAAAAATTCACTACCCAACGACGACGCGCACAACCAAAACAAAAACAAACAAGTGATGTTAGGTATAATCTTGGAGAAGCTATGATAACTGCGCATGTGCAGGGCCTATAAATTGAATGGAAAATAGAACATGTTCCATATTCCAAACAATTTATTGTTCAATTCAAGCTTTTCAACCAATTTGCTGGATGATACTACACAATATATTTTGAACGAGAAATTGAACCAAATCTTGAACAAGAAATTGTCTAAAACAGTCTTTAGATAAAACTATTCAGAGGCTATCATCTACGTGAATTACTAATTCTTCCTTTTTATGTCCATATCATTATATGGGATGCACTGTACTTACATAAAAGTCGATCTTGATATTCCTCAACTCAGCAGAGCAGAAATCTGGGTTGAAGGCAAAAAGATCACCAATTGAATTCAATCTTCGGCAAATTTGTGTTTTCTGCTTTTACGAATCGATAGAGTCCATGCTTGTTTTTTAATATAACGGGAGAACGATAACTTTTTACCTTGATGGGGAGTATTTAGGAATATTTAAAGAAGACAGCGTTAGTTCACGAGTGACAAGTAATGACGTTTCTTTATTTTCAATTTGTATGACTTCAGATCATGGCCAATAGTATTTTCACCGTTTCATAATTATTAAAAAGGAAAAATGTATTTTGTTAAATTGTACACTTGTACACTATACCCATCTTGCGCTTTTAAAAATTTAAATCGATTATTTCGTTTTTCTAAGCCAAGTACTGTAAGAAATTCTCACTTGTTCTGTGAAATTAGATATGAGTCATGAAGTCTGTTACCAGAGTAGTCATTTATTACATTTTAATAACGGATGTGCGTTTGTGGCAGTATCTATAGAATAATAGAAAGAAATTAGTTTGTGTCCATCCGTTCATCAGATATCAGAGCACACCTTGAGTGATCTTATCAAATTGAAGAATATCTACTGAATATCAGAACTTATTTGCCCTCATTTGGCCCCTTCTGGGAAACCTTAAAATCCAAAGAAACATCCTTTAATTCAAAACTACCACACACAATATTCAGAGTATCCTACTAAGTTCTTTAACTGATGCTAGCAACTTCAGTTTCATGAAACGGGTTTCTCCAGTGTATGTGTGTGTCGCATATTGATTTCTTTTGAAGGCATTAAATTCATTACTTTACGAAAACGTTGAACATCCTGAAAAGCAGCACCGCCTGGAAATGTTCCTAATAAATTTTCAACCAAGAGACTGACCAAGTCGGCGGTGCAATTTGTATCTTATGCAAAAACAGAAATGAGGACAATATACATTTATATTATATAGTGATTTCTTTTTGAGTTCAAAAATTTCGATCCTTATTTTCCTGAGTTGTATCCATGGGCGGCGTATTGCAGAATTCAGAGAGGGCAGGTTAGGATTACAGGCCCAGGCAACTGCTTTGAAGCAGACTTAATAGCTGTTTAAAACGGGAGAAAAATGTTTTTGAGAAGTAGAAAACGCCACTCCTTATGGGTAGCCTAGTACAAGAATACAAAAAAGTACTCGATAATATGTTACTCCTCAAGCGGAAGCCGGAGAGGGCATATGTCACCCTTACCCGCTGATGGGCGCCTGTGTTTGTATCGGTCGGTTCAAATTGCTGTTATACATTTTTACATAGTACAAGTGCGCTGATGTAATCACGCTTTTAGGGATATCCTTTAGGTCATTGTCAATGACAGTTATTGCAGATTTCAAGTTGGAATACAACCCCAAACTTGAAAAGTTGGCAGGTTAGAATTTAATAAAAATTCTGATAGTTTGATTTATGTTCTAGCATGACTAACTATTGTTAAATGTTACATATTGCTGTTTAGAAGGTGTTCTGAAATAGCCACATTTTTATGCAGCGCATCTCTAGAATCTCCGACGCAGGTGGGAGGGGTTTTATAGGTTCAACGCGTGTATGCGTCTGTGGCAGCGTAGCTCCCCAAATATCAACCCATCTGAGTGCATTATTTTTTTAATCGAAATCCTTGTCTGTCCAGATAGCTCTTAGCTATTTTTGCTGAAAATTGGTTTAGCTGTTTGAAGTTATGGAGGCCAAACGTGGCGATGAGACACCCAAAGTAAGCCAGTATTCCTGAATACGATATCAGATGGTTTAATTTGTGGATTAACAACTCGGTCCTCTAATGCAAATCGGCCAAGGCGTTCAAAAGTTAGTCCCATTTTTCTGTAAGATTTTGAACAACGACAGAAAAACTCCCAAATGGATAAACGTCTTGGGAAAGGTTATTTAATCAAACGTCTTAGGGTGTTTCAGAACTAAGGGATCAAACTTCTAGGGATTATTCAGTGTAACAGTAGAAAACATTTGAGTACAGGGACCCATATCCGGAACAGTGTCACTACTACGACCCTAAGACGCGTTAAAATTTACAAAGACGATGAATTAACTAAATAGGATTTAATGAATTTAATTTTTGCCTTTTGTAGATGATATCATCACAACAATTGTTCAAAATGTCTTCCTCCAGCCTAAATACACTGATTGAAACGCCGCACATGATTTCGGCGGACGACTAAAAATTTGATACTCGTTTTGAATGATTTCAAATGCTGCTGTAATTCGTCAAATTAAGCCTTGCTCTGTTTCTACTGGAGTTTCGTAAACCAAAGACTTTACATGTCCCCACAGGAAAAAATCTAGCGACGTTAAATCGGGTGACCTAGGAGGCCAAGAAACTGCTCCACCTCTGGCAATCCAACGGTGCCCAAACCGCTGAGCCAAATACTCACGTACTTGTACAGCAAAGTGAGCCGGCGCTCCATCATGCTGAAACCATATTTGCTGTCGAACGTTCAATGGAACATTTTCAAGAAGTTCTGGGAGAACTTCCTCCAAGAAACGCCGGTAAATAGGTCTTGTTAACCGTTCCGGTTATATAATCATCAGCAAAGCCTGTCCATACGTTGACAGACCAACGTTGCTGATACTCGTATTTTCGTGTAGCACCCGCCAGACGGAAGCGTTACTCGTATTCATATCCTCAGCAATGTGATGTTTGCTACTTGATGGTTCGCTGAAAGACCTCTTCTTCAAATTCGACCGTTCTTACGGTTCGAGCAACACCAGTATCATGCATATTGGTTTTAAACATGCCTGTCTCGAAGAGCCGCTGATGAAAAGCAATAAACTTTTTGTATCCCGGATGCTGTCGTTCGGGATAACGTTCTTGATACAACCGCGCTGCTGCTCCTGCATTCCAGCTTGTTGCTCCGTATGCCAAATGCATATCCGCCAATTCTTGGTAAATTTTTCCATTAGCAACAATTAATTTTTGTTAGATTCTTGCAAACTTCACAAATACGATAGCACGACTAAGGCGATGTGGAATGCACATACAAAAGCAATCTGTTATCGTTTTTAAGGATAACAACACACAAGCACCGGATATGGGTCCCTGTACTCAAATGTTTTCTACTGTTACACTGAATAACCCCTACAAGTTTGATCCCATAGTTCTAAAACACCCTGTATGTCGATGCTGCGCGTTTCATGCTGGTTTACTGACACGAGATTTACATGAAGGTCGGAGGTTCCTAATTTGCTAGCAAACAACTTGTTGAGGCTGAAGAAAGGAGGACGGGTAGTACGTGACGATTATTACCTTATGTCATTAGATTAGACCTAACACTGAGCAAGTCTAAAATATGTTGATGATACACCCTAAATGATCATCAAATGTCATGGACTATTGCATCCTTGCATTGGGCGACGTTCAGCAAGAAGAGGAGTAAAATAAAAAAAAACCCTTAAAATTGTTGCAGTGCTAATTTTCCCACTCAGTGTGATTTCCTTTCAAAATGAAGTACTCCGTATAATCTACAAAGCAGTATAGCACCACAACTCTTTTTAAACAATCGTTTTAAAGGACGGCAACGTATAATATGTGCTTAAAAGACAGTATATTTAAATGTAAATTATACACTCTCCTTACATAACTGTATCCAAACGGGTATAATCGGTTCGTGAACCAAGCATTATTTGCATTGCTAATTTTTTTTTCATGGCCATTCTCGTCATTTAAATGATTCTTGCTTTTTGCACATATCAATAAAAATACCAATTAGGTCGGACCGTTTATCATTTAAGTGTGTGTGCTGATAAAAGATTGTATGCGTAAGAGCGTAACCAAGTTACTGCAAAAGACGACAAATAAAAGCAGCTGACAATAAAATACGGCTTCAAAAAATTCCAAGCAAACTTAATAAAATACCATTTCCAAGGATTATGTTGTGCGGAGCGCCCCACATACTTAGTGTTTCTTAAATATATTGCATATAATTCCCCCAGATCGGTTTAAATATATAAATAAAGGCAATCTTTTGACGTTATTGGAAATTTCCAATAAGAATCGAAAACATACAAACGTGATTAAACATACTGCTTTCTTCCGTCCGACCAAAGATAGCTGGTTTGTGCTTTCTGGTTACCCATCAATCGTCTCAGGGTAACGACAGAAAACATAACAACTATCCTCTACCCAGGAGGTACGCTCTATCGAAATAAGACCGCACAATGCGCCATCTATTCCCAGAATCGACCACTGCGAAAAAGTGTATAGCCACTACCAGTTGGAACTGTGAAGATCTCAGTCTGCAATGGTAGCGCAGTCACCAGTGTGACCGACAGATGTCTGACGATTCCAGCTGCTTTGTCGATATGGTCTTCGTGCCACGGAATACTTAAAATGCTGCTTTCGTGCGTCCGAACAAAGACAGCCAACAATAAACAGCCATTTCGTGCTTTTTGGCTACTCATCAGCATGGTCTAGGCTTGGTCAATCATCTCCTTGTACTAGGTAATAATAAATGTTGATTTCGATTACCTCCAAGTTAACATATGATAATCAGATCTCATCTATCGAGCTCTTTTGATAAAGGTAGGATTATTCTGAAAAGAAGCAACAAAGAAGATAATAGATAATATTGGAGCAGCTGAGGAAATAATATTCTGAATGTTTGCCATGTGTTTAGAAAACACCTCATGTAGAGTATGAGAGCGAGTGGACTGTATTTTGGAGAGTTGAATGAATGTATTGACTAAGATTTTACAATTAATATTGATGAAATTAATGTAACTATCTTTTTCTTGGATGTCGCCTGTGCGCACGACTGGGAAAGATGCTCCTGTTCGGCTTCCGTGTTGAAACTGATATACGAAAGAGACGTATATACGAGGGTGTCTGAACACCTCATATACTATTTCACATAAGCTTGTGAAAAGTCTAATGCCAAGAGTTTTCTAAACTACGGTAACAAAAGTAATAGAGGATTCAAGATCGTTTAGATTGCGTCATTCCATACCGTTTTGCGTTAGATCTACCGTTTTGATCCTTCGGCTACCGTTATACCGTACAGCGCTCAATTTACTCGTATACCGCTTTTTACTGCTCAAGCTTTGGTCACATAAGGCAGGAGAGATGGAATAAAACTGCTCATGCTTCATGGACTATAAGACTGATTCCGGATATTAAAAGCTGGATTGATGAAGATTATTTTAGTACACAATTTTCCACAGAACATGGTTGTCTTGGTAGCTGTACCCCATTCATAGTCCATTCACACCCAGACAAAATACAACATGCCCAAAAGCGAGATTGTACAGTTCCGTATTTTCCTCAATAGTCTTGGAATAATCTAACAAGATAAATTATTATTTTTATGGAAAGAAGTGCACAAGGTTTTCACAATTCTTTATTCGCTGGAGGTGCTTGAATCATCGTCCGAATGGTTAATATTAATTTTTACGGCTTCAATTTGAATATCGATCGTATTGTCAAGATCCCACATCTTTATTTCGATTGTCTCTTGAACGTGACGGATGCAATCTTTCCAATGGTTTGCCGTCACTCTTTTCAAAGCTTCATAAAACAAATTTTTCACGTCAAAAAATTTGAATGTTCTATTGTTTGAAGCCACATAGTTTTTTATATTTGCCCAAATCATTTCATCAGTTTAATTCGCAGTCTTATTTTGGTTTTTAGCCATTTCGTCAATAACATTAAGATTATATTTGTGCTGTCTGACTAGATGGATAAGTTCTGCTTTGACCATGTTTTCATTGAAACTAATGTCTTGTGATAGGAGCGATTGTTCAACTTCTGACTTTCTTGTGGACATTGTGGTAATTTTTTCTAGTTTTCTAGTGTGGTATGCAGCATTAACAAGTACAATGACGGCATTGTTATCAAGCTTTGGTGGCGTTTTTTCAAACCATCGTTCAAATGAACTATCGTCCATTTCTTCATGGTAGTCAGTCGTTTTATTTGACTCAAATGCCCATAGGGCAGGTGGCACTCCACTGCCAATGTGACAGATAACAAATCGTTTCCCTTTTCCTGGAAACATTTATTCAATATAATATTCAAGAGAACTAATATTAATACAAGCAGAATATTTTAACAGGTGGAATCTACCAGATATATAAAAGTTTAGTGTAGCTAAGTTTCCAGCGTGGGCTCATAGATTCAGTCTACTTGACACCATGACGAATTGGTTAGACACACGCATCTGACGGATTCTTTAGACCAGTGGTTAGTCCATCTAAGAAGGCTTGTCTTGCTGACTTAATTCTAGAGTCGGCCCATACTTTAGGTTTTGAAAAATGTCCTGCAATTATCCAGGTCTAATCCAAATAATGAATCTCCCTGCCTTCGCGGTATTTCTTTATTGAATTTAAATAATTTCTTCACCATAAAATAATCTCTTGTTATATATATATTGTTATAATAATCTGAGTTATATCTTGTCGAATCCTGCACTTGTTCGTAGTCTTATGTCCGAATGACCAATAGCTTTTGCAATGCTTAGGCGGCTGCCGCTTTGCCGCGCTACATCTTTGTTGTGTCGGGGAGTAAATGGACTACGAATAGGGTATAGTTAAAGAAGGTAGGAAAGAGAGCACGCGATCTGTGCATATTGCAACGAAGAGGAGGATGTTGCTGCACATCTACTCGAGTATAGTAGATGGATTGACTACCAGAAAGCTGATGCTCGGACAGAGGCCCACTGCTGACAATTTTGCCAGGCGTATAAGATAGGGCAAGTGGGAAGAAATTCAGCATATTGATGCATATGATGCCTAGCATCTTACAGGGTGACAAGAGTAGACCAAAGAACCAGTAGTAGGTTCTTGCTTGCTTTGTTGGTCAATGGCACCGCGGTAGCGTAGTGATGGTGGACGCTACGTGTCTACTAATAAATTTTCTTCTTGGTGATAGACGATGTGATTATCCGTAGGAGGTAGATGGTTTCAGGCCATCGAGCGAGGATATACCACCCGGCGGATCTCCAAGGCAGGGCCAGAATGAGTGCATGTCACGTGAATAAGTGTTTCTTCGCTAGAGTCCGTGTGATGTCCCCTCTTTCCTGTGTATCTCCCTACAGCCCTACGGTACCCCGGGTATGCAGACTTTAGGTCTGCGTGGTAGCTTAAAAATGAAAAAAAAGGTCATGGTTGTTTTTACAGCTACATAAAAAGGGTAGAAAAGAGAAAGTATGCAAACTGTGTATATTGCAATGAAAAAGGAGGATAGGTGGATATTCCTAATCGTCTACTCGAGGTTGACTGCCACAAACAGCTATAGTTAATGTTCGGCGAGAGGTCCACTGCTGACAATTTTGCCGAGCACATAAGCGAAGCATTTAGCCAATAGTGAAGCGAATGATGCAGGGCAAAGTACTGAAGGATAATAAAAACTTGCCAGCCACGGAATCACTAATCGGTTTCGACTTGCTTGGCTTTTTCATATACATAAGTATATTCATACTTACTTACGTGGTCCATATAACATACGACTGTATGTTATATGTACGACGATAAGAATAGGACGACTAATATTTTTGGTATGAATATTTGACCCAACGTTTTTCATCGACGAAATGCTGCAAGCCTTACCATGGCGGGATGCGTAGCGAACGACTGAGGAGTATTAGTGAATATCCCGTCAGAATATTACTATTAGGACAGGAAAGGCCGACAGGGCAGTTATGTCAAGCGTTTCTGCCTGAAAGTGGCTATAAAAGCTTTTCCCTGTCCAAAAAAATGGCCCCCAGATATCAGGGCTTATCATGTCCTTCAGTAAGATGGAGCAAATTGCTATATCCTGGGAGCTAGTTGCCCACATCCGCTCTTCAGTTGTCACAAACGGCATTCGCTCTGTTCCTAAGGCTCAAAGGCAACTTTTTGCCAGTCCAATGACATGAATTTGCTCATCTAGCGTTTGTATTTTGAATCTACCATTTTCATCATTTTTTATTAATCAGGAAGTAGATTGTGATAAGCCCAAGGAGCTGCAGTACATACGGCAATCTGACCGCGATCTCAGAAAAAATGTTTATGAAACAGCAACCATCGTTTTTTTCGTACATATGTAGGTACTAGAATATAGCCATAGTCATATGAGAAATAGCTTGATGTTGAGCGAATGTTTTATTTTGTTTCAGCTTGGGGGACCAGTCCTGCAATAGTCTACATAACCGAAATAGGTAGAGCAGATATGAGAGGATCTCTGATTTCATCCGCACCCACATTTGCGTCTTTAGGTATGTATAATTAGATCTTCTATTGTTTGGTTAACAATCAAGATCTTCTCTATTCACAATATGACATGATGATTCATGAATGACAACGATTTTCTCTCTAACGCAAAACAAGCAGGTTTCTACAGCTCTTTGCCAAAAGATCGTGGTGCTAAAGTTAAAATGTCCATATGCTTTAATAACAGTTGCTCTAAGCACAACTGTGATTTACCCCTCAGCAATCCAAGGACTTTTAATTTAAACTTAGGGCCAACCACAGATGAATGGATTTTAACTCTTCCACCTTATGTTCCATTAATATAGGGTAGGAGGTATACAGGGTGTAAACGTTATGGCAGTAATTATTGAAATGGGTAATAGGGGGGGGGTCAAAACAAGTCAAAAAGTTCATATGACCCATGGTCCAGAAGTCAATAGATTTTTGTAAAAATGGCATAACTATCATATAGTTTACAACTTTAAGTGTTTTATATCGACCACAATCACAACAATCTTACTAATTTTTATAATCTAATCTAAAACATTTTCAAATTGGGTAATTAACAGATAAATGGCATTAATTTTTTCTAAGTTAAGCCAAAATTTGTAGTCAGTAAGAAAGTAAGTTTCATTAAATTGAATATTTTAAACACACTTGACAACAGCGCGTCGGTCATCATCACTATTATTGAACCTGCAATCGATCGCAAACGGTAACAGTGGTTATTTATCCTTTTGCATAGTCTTGCGGCGTTGTCAGATTTATTTTACTTTAAAGTCGCTTTTCTCCAAAAAAATGCCGTTTTGACCCCAAGTTATATGGAAATTTTTGCTTCTTTTAACTCCCTCTATCACCCATTTACATAATGACTATCATAACGTTTACACCCTGAATAACTGTAAAATGAAATAGAACGAAAAATTATATTATTATAAAGGCTATAATTGTAGTAGGTACTATATTAAATTACCTTCTGTAGCATTGTAAGAAGTATGATTGCAATAACATAAGTCTCAAAGGTAGCACTAACTCTGGTGCATCGAGGTAGTGACTTTTATTTAACTATACAATCTTTCAGACAAATTGTCTGGTCCATCAATCTTAAAAATTACGTTGGTCAAAATGGCATACGGCTATCGATGGAAACTTGGAAACATTTCACGAGCACATCTTTTCCAATGATGATTTGCCTCCAAAATTGTGATTTCTCATCTATAAACCATTTTCCATGGTGATATGTTAAATCACTGGTCTACGTCGATACATTCGTATTACGTATCTTGATAGACAGATAAAGCGACAGAAATAATGTCCAAAAAGGTAACATTTGATGTGGGATATAGATAATTCAAGCATGAACAATTTCAGGGATGGTGATTTGCTTCTTGAAAGGCTGGTTTCTTCATTGGCGCACAGTAGCATGGATGTCCATAGCTTACTGTACCATTCCATTGATGCTCACGTTTTTCATCCCGGAGAGTCCCGCTTGGCTGGTGTCTAAAGGAAGGATCGAGGAAGCAGCTAAGTCACTCAGATGGATACACAAGTACCAACCACAGCCAGAAAATAGAGTAAGTACACATTCGTTCATATGAATATTCATGTTATGAATTTGGGCGATTTGGTCAATTTGGAACATTTATTGAAAATACGACATTTCGGCGACTTTAAACGCCGTCTTCAGGTATATGTGAGTTTCTAGAACAGACAAAAATTTCTGTTCTTCTCCTTAACAATCTTTTTTGTAGCCTTCTGTATCCTCTTAATATTTCCTATCATTCTTTCTGTTGAGGTCTATTTTCATCCACGACTATAGTAACTTTGCAGTTTTGTACTCTTGATCGTTGATATCAATTCAAGTTATAAATTCTTGGGATTCGTTCAAGTTAAAACATTCATTAAACGCCATCTTCAGGTACATGTGAGTTTTTAGAGCAGAACTTGAAGTGATATTAATGGTCAGGAATACAAAACAGCTCTGGGTGAAAATTGACCTCACCAGAAATAATGATATTATGAACCTATTAAGACGATATGGAATACTCCAAAAAAAGATTATCAAGGAGAAGAACAGAAATATATTTCTATTCTAGAAGCGTCGTATTTTTAATAAATGTTTTAACTTGATCGAATCTCATGGATTTATAACTTGAATTAATATCAATGGTCAGGAATACAAAACTGCAACGTTTACATTGACACGACTGAATGCTTCTTGAGCTTACGGTAGTCTTACTGTCGGAACACACGGGCGGTAAATTGTTGTGTTGCAAAAAAAACGCGTTCAACGTTACATTGCAGTGCGTCAATTTAGCGCCCATGTGTACCGGAAGTTACTTGCTATGACAGGTGTTCAGTGATCTGGCTCTGTTCTACTGATATGCCGATAAACTCCGTTCCTTTGAACTCTACTCCATGGCGTCACTGAACTGAACTTCTGAACGCCTCTATAAACGGGCGTCAAATAAGCGCTTAGCATTACACTGATGAAGATGGAACAACTCACGCTATCGACGCGCCTTCAACAGAAAATGTGGGTGTAGCATTAGGCGAAGTTCGGATATGCCGCACGTTTGTTGTGTTGGTGTTTAGATGGTATGAGTACAACTTCGTACAACTCTTATATAGAATGAGAAAATCGAGTGCCAGTTTATTGTGTTTAAGCAACGAGGATGAATGAGGAAGAAACTATTTGTGCTTAGTTAACAAATAGAACGATGAAACAACGTAAAAGATTTTAAGGAATAGATTTTCTACAAGTTTATACCTTACACTATGTCTTAGCCTTCGAAGATACGAATCTCCTAGGCACTTTTTAGCCATTTATTTGAATAAATTTAGAAATGCATATTCAAAATCGCAGGCCTCTGATCAATTTCATCAATAAAAAGATCTGTGTTAAATTCTTCGGTTTCCATATAGTAGAAAGCAATGCTTCGAACAACACACGTATGTCGACTAAACGCAACGAAAGACGAGCGCCAACTGAACAGGCAATGGGAACGCGCGTATGGAGATACTCTGGGTCCAGTGGAATTGTACGCGCTTACATTTTCTTAAGAGCGCTTTCACATGAACAGCATTTTTCTCGTGTTTGCAGTACGGAATTTTGGGTAATGCATGAAAACGCGGTCCGTGTGAACAGCAAATAGTTTAATACATTTATAACATCAGAAACTTATCGTGTCGTTTTCATGTTGAGAATCCTGGAAGAATCAAGCCGCCACCTCTTTATTGCTTGACGCTTCGGTTCCAGCGGTGACCTTCGTCAAGTGCAATTGACATCTTTTTGACAATATATTCTATTTATCTGTCTTCTAGCTGACAGTTTGCATGAATGTTCCTTCCATTATCACATTCCTATACAGAGTGCTACTAGACGTCCTTTTGTGGACGGGATCCAGGCGATCCTGGGATATGCTGGTTTTGGGCGGTGCCATCTTGAAATTGGAATAATGGATTCGCCTAATCTCGGCATGTTACAGGATCTTTCAGGCTATTGTAGTGTCACATCGAAGACAGATAAATAAAATATAAATAAGTGTCACTTGAAGAAGGTCACCATAGGGATCGAAAAGTCGTGCAATAAAGAGTAATTTCAAACGTATGTGGTTTGACTCGGCCAGACAAACATGGAAGATTAGCAAGAAGTTTGTTTTGCAGCGCTGCAACTGGTCGCCCGTGTGAATTGACAGTAACAAATTGTGAACCGACAAATAATAAAAAAAAATATTTTCAGCCTCTTCGCCTAAAATCGTTTCAAAGACTATAAATTGGCCTAGATGAATGAATTCGAATACTTGAATGTGATATCTGTGCTAAACTGTCTCCAATAAACGCGGCATACTCAAGACCGAAAAAAATCTAGTATAATAAATAAAATAACTACCTTGTGCTGCTCTCGAAAGAACAAGGAATTATTTTCTTTTTTGTTGTAGAATGAAACAATGGCTGAGCTGCAGTTGAAGTTCCTCCAAAAAGAGCACCAAGCCAAGTTGGAGAAACAAGCCAAAGAAGGTGGCTCGGGAGGTTTAGCGAAGATGAAGCAGTTTATGAAACCTACTGGATACAAACCACTACTTATCTTGTTTGGGCTATTCTTTTTCCAGCAGTTTTCCGGAATATACATTACGTTGTTCTACTCTGTCACATTCTTTAAGGTAATTATAAAATGGATGCAGTACTTTTCCAAAAGATCTCCCCTTACTTATTTTTTGAACGGGTGAAGCTGCCAAGCTGAAATAACAAGAGAGTTTAAAAAAACTGACAAATGCCGAAAAAAAAAATGAATGGAGTGCTCTGTATTTTATTACATATTACATAGAAGATTTATATAACATACGGTTTTTGATATTTGGTTGTTGAACTATAAGCGATTCGATGTATAAAAACGCTCGACTTTGACAGCTCACCAGTCTGCCATTTTGAAAGGTAGTAAATTTGTTACAGAGTTAAGAGGTACTGATAAGTTGCCATTTTGAAATCTTCAGCTGTCACTTTTAAATTAAAGTATAGTATCCAAGCATTAATTTCATCACCCCAAATTTCAGCTTCCTCCTGTTTAAAAAATAAATAGTGGCGTTTTTGAAAAGCACTATATAAATAGTAAAAAGCAAAAAGAAATTGGACAAACATTGAAGGAAGTATTCGACTCTTTCGGTTCAAGTAGGAAAAATAAACAAAGTATAGATTTTTGCTTCAAATTATTTTTTCTAAGACACTTATGTAATATACTATACATGAAAAGTGACTACTATTCTTGCCTATCTTGACTGATGTATTTCATTTTGGCCACATACGTTTTTCATCGAGCAGACATTGCTAAGCTGTCTTCGAAATTCGAAAATGTTCATATTGCTGAGGTAATATTGTAAATGTTACTAACAAGATGAATGTCACACGATCAGTATTTACTGTGGTCCATCAGTATTTACTGATCGTACCGCCAGACTCAGTGGTTTTGTACAAACAGTCACATTTCATGGTAAATATTGACAGAACGCAGTAAACGCTGATCCTAGCAGATTCTCATATGCATTTTGGGAAAGGAGGAAGTAGCTAAAATAAGGATTTTATTTTCTTATTTCCGATTTTACAATATTTAGGCTTGACTTGAGTGATCATAATCTGTATGTACGAAAATTTCTTTTTAGGAAGTAGGCAGCACGCTAAACCCATATTTGGCATCAACGTTCATCGCAGCAGTTCGAATGGCGATGTCGTGCATCAATTCTTATATGTTACGTACCTTCCATAGAAGGCCTTTGGTCATTGTCAGTGGAATTGGTATGGCCATATGTATGGGATTTTCTGGGTTGTTCACTTACTGGATTAAGCAAGGTAAGCAGTAATATGGAAAGTCAAGTAAATAGTCCATGTACCACAAAATGTTCATCACCTGTTAATGCTTGCAAGTTCTGCAGAATATACATACACCTTTGAAAATTCGAATGAAATTGTAAGGGCGTCTAGAAGTTGGTCCAAGTTCTTCTGTGGTATATTCAGCAGCTCATACGTACAATCTTAAACATTCGAATTAGTTGACAAGTAGGTTTTGACCATGGGCTGCCTCCCAAAACTTTTTGAAGAGCGGGGGGTAAACAAGTTTTTAACAGGGCGGCCAAATCCTAAAAATCCTTAACATTTTACACAAAATCATGCTAAATATGGAAATTTTAAGATCTAACCGGATTCTCAAGGGTCAAATTTCATAGGGCGACATCTTTCATGAATCCGTTCAAAGATGGAAAATTTCACTGATTGAATATTAAATTATATAATTCGAATTTGAGCCAATCCACCGTAAAAGTGGCGATAATAACAAAATTAGTCTCTCCATGAAATCCTCAATCCTTGCAAACAAAATTCTCACACCGGATTTTGTTCGTTGGGATGTTGCGGCTGCTGCCAGTAATATAATTGGTTACGATTCAGCACCGAAAAATGCACGCACAGCGAATCACTGTGAGTGTCGCAGATGAAAAATGGAAACATAAGCGGCAGTTACTGTGAATTGCAAACCACATACAAACCGTATAAAATCGATCATAGGTTCAACATTTCCTCAGATTTGGTTCCTTGCCCATTTCTGATTGGATGCGTTACACGCACGTACTCTCAGCAGATTATAAAGTTATATTCTTCAATCTCAATTAACATCTGAAGTAAAAATCATCTAGATTCAATCAATTGACCGATTTGGATTCAAATGTGAAAAACCTGCTGTGGCACTCTATATGCACAGAATATGCGGAAAATGTAGTTACACAGATAGTCTAATCATATTAGCAAATTTCCACGAAATAATTGTAATGTCTGGTTTTATTGGTGCACGTTATTCAAGGGGGTATTTTAAACATGGACGCATGAAATGGGTACAACAATTTTTGTGGGAAAACTTTTTATTTGACAACAAAGAAAGATAACGTGTTTTTTGGGATTCAGTCGAAAGTGTTGACAGGAACGAAAAAACGTTTCATATAAGATTTTTAGGTATTTATGAGACGTACAAAATGATACTACACATAAAAAGATCCGACTAATAGCAAAAAAGTTATGGACGAAAACCGAGGCAAACTGCAGGTTTTCGCACTTACTGGTAATGCGACGACGGTTTCTCGCAGATATTTGAAAGTCTTCAAATTCGCAGGTTTCATACTCCCAAATAATTACAACAAAATTGGAGTATATTGGTCAAGTAGTTTTTGAGAATTTCTAATTGTTTATCCCAAAACACCTGTTTTCCGGCCATCACTACTAATTTATTGAGCATTTAATAACAAAATATACGAGTATATCTTGCCGATATTAAACAAAAACCATTCCGAAAGATAAATGTTATTTTTATGCGAAAAACAAAGGTTACGTTTTTTTCTTCTAAACAAATTCAAATATTTCGTATTTGTGGGTAATTGAACAAATGCGCTACGATATTCGAAAAACATACGTTACTATACACATTGTAAAACAAAGCGGATGAATCACGAAGCTTTTCCTTTGAAGGTACTTCAGACGCAAACTGGGTGCCAGTAATGATGATCCTACTATACGTCGTAACATCTATGGTGGGTTTGCTGCCAATACCCTGGACAATGACGGCGGAGCTCTTCCCCATTGAGATAAGAGGGATAGCACACAGCATTGCCTACAGTATAGCTAATCTGCTTATGTTTGCTGCGGTGCAAAGCTATTGGACCCTTGACTACTGGTATGTACTGATTCTGGAAAAAAGCCTTTTAAAATATTTAGAGCCTGACAACATTTGTACTGTATTTTTTTAAATTCGCGGAGGAACTCTTTTGCATATGATCACAGGATACCAGGAGAAGAAGAAACCTGATCTGAATTGAAAACGTTTCTTTTTATCTATGAGTACCCTTATCTGTTTCCTATTCATGACTCATACGCTTTTTTTTAAAAAAGACTTTGGAAAATCGGTCAGATATCAAAGTGAACCATCTTCTTCTTACGCGTCTCCGTATCGAAACTTGAAACAATTGCCCGAGAGGCTGCAGATCTGAAAATTTCAACTGATGTTCCCCAGTATCAACGCAACATCTCAGGTCTTTTTCGTATGAGTTTTGCGGTGTTCTCACGGATCCTTTATCAAAGATTTTCACCCATAATTACATAACCAGTGTATTGTTTCCGTTTCCTGCTAGAGTTCTTCACTTTTGTTCATCCGTCTAATCATAATAATGTATCTACTTTTGATCTCACCATACACCTTGTTTCCAAAGATGAAATCGAATGTTGAAAATATGAAATTATACGAGTATTTGTTTGTACCTTCTTTTACTGTCAAACGCAGCAAATATGAAAGGCACCCTAAAGTGAGATTTGTCGTAAAACTTATTGGCCAATATGAGGTGACTTGCCATGAAATTGACTATACTATAACTATCTAAAACTGTAATGACTCATCGATGTTCACGTGAACATCACTGAACTACCAGTAGTCGGCTGTTCATAGGCGGGGTATGAATGTTTAACATGGGTGAACTAGATTTGTCACATGCTTAATAAAGAGTGGTTTGAAACATATTGTAAGTCAAAAATTTGGGAATTACCTTTATTCATCGTCGCTTCCACTTACATCTGACAGTAATAAACTGTCGCTATCGCCTAGTTGAAATTGACTCTATGATGGTGTCGATGTGGTGGTCAAGCTGCCACATTTTTGTTTCTTCCTTCACAACATGACGGATAGCATTCTGCCAAGCTTCGGGCGTTACTAGCTGTATGGAAGTCTCAAGTAAAACCTTAACGTCTGGTAATTTGAAGGTTGTGTTATGGCGCGCAATATAACCCTTCACTTGAGCCCAGATGAGCTCTATTGGGTTCAGTTCACAGTGGTAGGGCGGTAACCGCAGCACAGTGACACCACATTGACGGGCCATCTCATCAGTCACGTAACTAATGTTCGCAGGTTTGTGCTGTTTATTTTTTTCATACAATTCCGCTTTCACACATGAATCATCAAACGGGATTCCTTTTTCGCATGTCACTTTTTCGAGATCCCATAGTCGGTACACGTTCGGCTCGACGACTATGGTAGGAAGCATTATCCATGACGATCACAGAGTTGGGCTCAACTCGCTGAAGCACCCCTTGAAACCAGCTCTCGAGCAGCTGGCATTCATTTCGTCATGGTAATCACCTCCTTTCTTAGAGACGAAAATCGAGTCACACTCTCACTACGTTTTTGTCTATCCAGATTTTTTTAACTGTGTGACCTGCATTGACCCATGTCTCGTCCAAATAATAGATTTTTCTGCTTTGTCGCCTATATTCAATCATTTCGCGTAGGTATTTTCGACGCCAGGCGACTATTTCAGGTCTCTCTATCAATACTGACTTCCGATTACGCGTTTCGTAATGAAAATTAATTTCGTGCAGGGATTTCCTCATTACCTCGACGCTCATTTGGGGTATAATTTCATTTTCCTTGATCGCTGCATGTACAGCCTTGAGGGTTGGTATCTCATTCCTAAAGAAGAATGAATGTACGGTTCGCCTTAACGCCAATTTGCTATCGTCATCCAATTTAACGGCCTTTCGTCCCTTCAAATTAAACTTTGCATCAGTAGTAGCTCCAGTTTTCTTCTTTTCATGCACCACCCTGCGAATGGTCCACTCTGGAACGCCTGTCATACTTTCACAACGCGCGAGTGCATCTCCCTGCGACATAGTTTTGTTCAGATAATTGAACACGTTGAGCACGATTTCTTTCGCGTCCCTCTTCAGTGCTTTACGAAGCCGTCTACTTGTTCCCTGGCTTTCTGTACTTCCACTCGTGCCATTTGTACTCTCCATGGTCAAGTATAACCAAAACAGTAACCACAGCAACCACAGCAATAACAATCACACAACAATTCTTATAAAAACACACAATATGCGATCGCTCAACGAAACACGTTCCAATGCGTTGCCGACGCCTATGAGTCTGCCAGTCGAGGCGCGTCTTGGATTTCATTGGTTCTACCGGCAGAGAACAATCAGCCATTATTTCCATCTCTGTCTGTGCTGTTGACCACCGCAAAGTCACAGAAACGACATATGTCGTACGCTATACGGCTGTACTGGAAGGAAGCCGGGATCGAGCTCTGATCACGTGTTGATCACGCATATGGGTCATTACAGTTTTAAATAGTTGTAGTATACCTATGGCAACAGTAAATATATAAATGTTGCAAAACTTCCTCGCTTCTCAAATGATTTGCTCACTTGGGAGACCTTTTCGTGAGGCTTTTAGATTTTTTGTAAATGTATTTGATGTTTCGTAATTGAGGCGCATATAATAATAATGGTCTAACTCCTCAGATGTTTCAGTATTATACCGAACGCATGATTATACAATTTTTACAGTGAACTTTATTAAATTCAAATCAGAATGATGGAGCCATCTATCGACCGGGTACTGAAACAAGGAGTTAGACTAGCTTTATACTGATAGATCTAGTTGGATTGATGCATTTTATGTGAATGGCGCGAACTTTCAAAAGAGTGGATTTAGACCATTATTATTCTATGTACCTCAATTATGGATTCCAGTCGGTGAGCGTAGGACACCCAGATTATAGTAAGCCGCTTAATCAAAATCATCCACTGCGAACCAGTGATATATTGTGACTAAATAGCCTATCAGCGGTACTATAACTATCGAATTATCTTTGACAACAGGTTCAGTGGGGCAGCTGGCATTCAATGGTTCTTCACCGTAGTATCTCTCATGGCCAGTTTCTACGCATTCATATTCTTACCGGAAACCCACGGAAAAAAGTTGTCAGACATCACCACCTACTTCGTGAAGAACACTATCTATCTAGTGGCAGCCAAGAAAGCGAAACTGACGGCAAATCAACAGGCACAGAAGAAGCAGACTATCACTAGAGTCGGCAAGAAGGATATCGTCAAATCACAGAATGGACAAAAGGACAAACTTATGGATAATGCTGTTAATAGTTAGGTCTTTGCACAGAAGGACTTCTTATTTTGTGGAGATCTGATCAAAAAGAAAAACACAGCAGCCGTATGTGTGGTATGTGGAGCAGTGCATAAAATAATATCTTTGTTTAAGGTGAATTGCTATCAAATCTCGTATACAATACGCTAATCAGGTTTTCTCACGATATGATCCCCTATTGGACCATTCCACGGCAACATTTCATCGGAAGGTGATTGTCACATTAACGACATTTTAAGAAAATTTGATTCTTTGAGCTTTTATTCGTGTTACCGCTACTTTTTCCTGCCTGCTAGTTTGAGTTATCAATCAAGTCTCTACTTCAGCTCCAAAAACCAACTGGTAAAATTGTTATTATATTGCTGAAGTTAATCTGCCAGGAGAGATGTTTACGCATTAATGCAACCTCAATAAGTACCAAATGGGACCTCTCTGAATTTCCTGTAGCAGTGTGGGCATAGCAGTATGTATAAATGTACCAAGATCGAATTCTAGGATGACTTTAGAATAAGGCTAGCCATGGTATCGCAGAAAGTTGGAATAAGATAAATAATGCAAACGTCTTATTCTATCAAGCTCATTATGTGACAAATCATTTGGTGTAAGTTCCGCATACAGACAGAAAATAGAAGTACCCAGATGGAAATAGAAGTACCCAGATACAAAAAGATGCAGCCATATGCAATTCGCAATATGAACCCAACTCAATCAGTGTTTTCTGTTTGATTAGATCTCAGAGAGAATTTGAGAAAATGATTGCAAAAAGAAGAAGCGGTATTGTATGAACTAACTTGACAATTTAACAATGTAAATAAGCAAAATCTAAAACAATATTTCATCTCAAGTTGTCTGAGGAGAAGTATATTGCTTGTATATGTCTCGATGTGTTAATTGTAAGCTACAGTGTTTGTCTAAAAGTTTAAATAGTTACCGGATGAAGGAAGTATGATCCCTGTTACTGAACTATTCGTCAATTATTCTTACTGGTATCAAATTTGTTGAAAAAAGCTAAATTATAAGAAAAAACTTTGTTTATTTTTATTATTTACTTTACGCCTGTTATACAATTATTACGAAAATGATTCGTTTTTACTTTTTACAGCAGTATTTTTATACATTATAAGTTATTTGTGATATTAAACAAAATATTTTGTAGATTTTGTCTACATATAATGAATTTAGTTTAGTATATTCCACCATAAAATGATTTTTATGATATTTCTGTTATACCAATGCTACAAAATAATGACATTGAAGGATTAATATTTGTTTAGCTCCAGAAATCGCGTAGTTACTTGCCAGTTTTTTGCAATGGTGTTAAATTATCAATAACTCAAGTCTTCCTCTGTACGCAAACGATCCCAACAAGCAGGTGTTCCACTCTGTACAGTATACCTCAAAGGGTTTAATTTTTTCCTCAAACAAAGGTAGTGGGAGTAGCGTATTAGAGTTTGAACAAGTCCAAATAAGCACAGGTATACTTAACTGTATGTTCATAGGAGTATCAAATATACTGGTCTCTGATATGTCAGCATCTTTTAAGAGATGTTTTTGAGAAGATATGAGAAACTGACGAGTGCAGATATTGCTTATACTTTGTTTTAATTAGAATTAGTTATAGGTTCTGTAGCTTAAGACAAGCAACTTGTGCCTTTTAGCTTAAAGTCTGGAAAGATGCCAGTATGTTTTATCATTCCTTGCAACGATATCAAACCCAAGATTAATTCAATTTTTATTCTTATGTGTTTTATTATTGAAATAAGGTGAATGTGGTGCAACAGAATTCCATTGAGGTGAAAAACAAGTGTTACACTTTTTTGATAGGACCTCTCAAGAAATGTATATAGTTTACTACAGGTGTAACGTCAAAAATATAATTAATAAAGAGCATCAACTTATAAATAACATGTGTTATAATTAAGTTAAGCACAAAAATCGTATTTTTTTAGCCAACTGAAAGATGCAGCATCTATTTCAACAAAGTGTAAGTTTTGTTTTATAAATTTGAAAGTGTGATTTTTTACTTGTCATTTAATATCGATGAATATCGTGAATAAATATTAATACTAAAACTTGTTTTATTTCTTGTCATGAGTTGACGACTATGACTATGTAAATTTGCATTGAAGATAAAATAACTGACCCCCCGCAACGTTCTTTCCACAAAATAACTGTTACCTTTACCCTTTGACGATCAAAAGCAAAAATAAGTATGACTACCGCCATAGTGCCTATGGTTGTTTTTAATATTTCAATGGCTTGCTGTCGCTTTAGATCTGTATGAAATTCGTACCCCTGTTCCAAAAGCTCTTGTCGGGGCCCATTCATTCGTCGGTTATTCCCACCTACTGCTAGTGTTTGCTATACTGAAGACTTATACTTCTCATACCCATACTCAAAAATGTAGTTACTTTGGGTATATGATCCTGGTAAAAAGTACGTCTAGACGTTGACCAATATCTTTAGAATCGACTACGTGAGTTTATTGATTGGTAGCTATCTAAACATTCCATATTTTGATGCTAACCTTGCAATTGATGCAGAAATAATGCAGCAAATGAGCATCTCTAGAAGAGTAGTGATGAACCCATATAGCCGGCTAAAACTACTTACAGTCTGCTGTCACAAGATGAAACTTTTAAAACGTTATAGTTATAGCTGGCTATTAAGTTACTTAATACCACTGCAGAATTTGTCATAAGACTGGCTATAAAATCGGGCAAGAATCGCTAGATACTGCAGTAAGAATATTCCTCGTTTAGAAGCGCCTTGACGTGAAGCGACTTCGATTATATGTATGTCACCTAACGAACTTCTTACTTACTAACATTACAGTTCATGCTTAGCTTATCATTCTACTTTCGGTTGCAATATAAAGTGAAGGGTTGGGGGACAATCATTAGCGTGGAAATACTCTTGCATGAAATTGTGAGAGAACCATGAAATTTAAAAAATATTATGTTAAATTTGTTCAACAGATAAACTGATGACATTAATGCATTTCTTTCAGAGTTGATTATTTGTTAGCCATGACAAAAAGGAGATACATTATAAATGTGGTTCTTACTTGAAATAATCAGCTTCAGTATCACCATTAAGTACGAAGCAAAATGATGTTACCTTTTTGGTTAGATTTTGGGACTTTTGAGGTTAGCAGAGCTGGAAAGGACTTCTTCAGACAGACAGTTACACCCAAGGCATCCTAGGAACAAAGTAGCATTATTGCATGGACCAGCCCCCAATGTATAGATCTAACAGCGTTATATCCCTGTATAGCATCACATTATCTTAATCTAATTAAATAATGGAGTTACCATTTGCATACTATGCAGGCAGCTTTATTTGCTGTTTTAGACACTGCAGAATACATTCGTTTTCTAAATCTCGCCAAACCCTTTACGCCCCCACAATCGTCTGATACAAATCCCACCACGTATTTTGGAGCAGTTCGTCGTAACGGACAGATTCATATGAACTATCTTTGTCTTTTTTCGTTTTAAATAGTGCATATTGGTTGTTGTTTATGTAAGAAGTGCTTTTTAAAAAGGCCCCCACCAATAATTTTAGTAATTTTTGAAACAGGATAGCCAGATAAAATTTGAGGTAATGAAAAGGGTCCATGAATACTATATTTTGCTGTAAAAAGATACTAAAAATGTCAAGATTGCGACCGCGCGCCATCTTGGACATGCTCTTAGATGTAATGGAGGCCAGGTGATCCTTAATTTTGTATCAGTACTGTAACCTTAGAATGTAAAATCACTATCCTCCAATATGATGAACTGGAAAACTCTCAAATCCAAGCATTTTTGTTCATTGAATCGCTTATAACTCAACAGCTAAACATACAAATGATATGTTATGTAAATATTCATCTCTTGGGACTGTCTCTCTGAAAGTACAATACAATGAGACAACCCGTTCAAAAAATGGATTACCTTATGTTTTACTGCACATCCGGATAGATCCAAGAAAAAAAGATTGATATGAAATGCTATAGAATTTTGATGATTGGTTTTGAGTTATATGAGCAATTCAATGTACAATAACGATCAAGTTTGATAGCTCACCAATTCGCCACTTGGGGAGATACTTATTTCATATTCTTGTTTTATAGAGCAGCTTCAAATGACCCCATATTACAATAAGAAAAAACTGTCAGACCAGTCAAGCTAAAATATAGTATGGAATAATCTCGTCACTTGCAAACTGAAGCTGAAAAAATAAGAATGGTGGGCACAAATTTGTCATTTGCACTCAGACCACGGTGTTGTGGAGGTTAGGTTTCGGTCAGAACCCCCTGTTCCAGCAGAAAAAAACTGCCAATACGGACATGCCAACTGGGAGGGGCTCAGATACTTCTTCTTCCACCCTGTCTGTTCATCTATAACTTCAGTTATCCACATTGGGATGGAGGAATACATCCCTCATACAGTGAAAGTGCCTGAATCAAGGTCCAACGGCTGGTTCCATAAATCGTGCGACACTGCTCATCAGCAGAAGATCAAGACACACAGAACCTTCTTGCAAAACCCCACTGTAGAGAACAGACGAGCCAACGCTACGTCTAGTCCACAAACATAACGAGGTGATTCGCAATGCTAAAGACCAGCACGATATAAAAGTCAGGCACAGGGTAATGTCGCTGCTCAATGGCAGTCGATCTTCCTGTACCCTGACCAAGCAAATTAGAAGCAACTTCTCACAGAGTAGCCTTTCATCACATACGTGTCAAGATGCAACACTTGTAACATAGTCAAACACTAAAGCGGATGAGCTTGCCAAAATCTTTGCTGCCAACTCCACTATGGACATACCCCTTAACGCCCGAGTGCTATCGACTCATAGGGTTCCCTACACTATGCGGAAAGTAACATTCAGGCATAAGAGCGCAAGACGGGTGCTCTTCTTCCTCGACATCCACAAAGCTTCTGGTCTGGACTTTATTCCTGTAGTTGTATTGAAGAGGTGTGCAGAGGAGCTTGCTCCAGTTCTTTCGCGTTTCTTCTAGGCATATTACGAATCCGGCACCTTCGCAGGAAACTGGAAATTTGCTCATGTCCAAGCTATACCAACAAAGGGATCTAAGACCAACTTTTACAACCCCAGGCCTACACCTGTGCTTTATGTTATAAGTAAGGTGATCGAGAGGTACATAAATCGCGAGCTTCCGGACTACCTCAAAAGTCACGGCTTGATGAGCGACAGGCAGTTTGGTTTCCAGCACCAGCGATCGACAGGGGACCTCCTAGATCACGTCACGTAATTTTGGAGTTAACTCATCCAGTCTGATGGTGAGGCTCATGTCGTTCATCTTGATATCAGGAAAGCGTTCGACCAGCTGTGGCGCGCTGCCCTCTTATGCAAACTTCCATCCTACGGCCTCCCAGAGAAGCTTTGCAGACGGGTGGCCAACTTTCTCTCTTGCCACAAGATATCCGTCGTACTTGACTGGTTCTCCTCTTCATCCTACAACGACAATGCGGATGTTCCCCAGGGATCGGTCTTGGTACCGACATTGTTCCTTTTACATATCAACGACCTCCGTTCCTGTACGATCAACCCTATCCATATCTTTGCTGATTACAGCACTCTACATATATGCCGGAATACAGAGCGACAAGCCGACCTCTGCCGGTCAGCTGGAAAAAAGACTAGCAGCGACTTCCTCTGTTACGGGAGACCTGAAGGTTATCACTGCTTAGCGACCCAACGATCTTGTACAGTTTAATGCTTCCAAAACAAAGTACTATACCTTGACTAACAAAAAGCGTATTAAGCGTTCATCCAATTTTGATGGAGAGCCTAGTTCTGCTAAAGAGCCATTTATTTCGGCTGTTTGGAGTCCAGATCACCAATGACTTGATCTGACACGAACACATCTCGCCAATAGCGGCAGCTGCTGGGAAATGCGAGGTTATTTGTTTAGTGTCAAGAAGTACTTTCCTCCGCATGACTTCTCCACTTTATACAAGGCCCAGATAAAGCCTATCCTCTAGTGTTTGCTCACTCGTTTGGGGAGCTACCGCCCCGACTACACTATTTATGCTCGCTGCTGTCCAATGGAGGGCTGTCCGACTGATCGATGACTCTTCTCTAACAGACAGTCTCGGGACCCCTTCGCACCAGCGCGCCATCGGCGATCTAGCTCTTTTTTACCGCTGCACCAACGGGCTTTATTCCTCGGAGCTCTCCTCCACGATGCCGTCGCGCGACAGACAGACCTGAACGACTTTGACCTCCCATCCTTTCCATGACGAACTTCGTACATCGAGAACTGGCCGATACGACCGATCCTTTATTCCGAGGGTTGTCGAGATTGTGGGAGAATCTACAAGATTAACAAAATTTCTTTCGGATCCTCATAGCAGCCGCGGTGTTCTGGCATTTAGGCTTCTACCTCCGCGGTTGATTCGGTGTAAAAAAATCCAGTGAAAGGGTTTCCTCACCCTTGTTTTCGCTTCCCTTTCTCGCAGTGAGCGCGCACCTTAAAATCCCGGAATGCGTTTTCCATTTTCTATTTCCCTTGTCTTTTGTTTACTTGAGAGCCTAATACCAAGGTTCGGCAATTGCTAATTAAATTAATTAAGTTGTCAGAGTTAGTAGAATTGGAAAAAATCTCTTAATTTCTTCAGGCAGATTCCCATATAAGCTTGGCACCATAGGACTAAAGAAACGGCCAGTTCTTATGGTACAGCGCTAAACATAGTTAGAACACGAACGCAAAATCCTTACAGTCAATATGTCAAAGCCAGTTGGCAGATATCAGAGAGGTTTAGAATCGTTAGTTCGTCCTTCGTTCTCTGCAAACCTACATGTCTACGCCTATGTCAGTGAACTCCGAAGATCCCCAACAAAGACAATGTAGCCCATGTAGTGCAACGATTGCACCATTGGTAACCCAATATTTGTCACTGCCACTTCCTACTTTCTCTCATTTCCGGTTTTTGCGCGTAACGTGACACCGACAGCGCATCAGCCGGGGTGCGTGGAGCATCTTCCGAAGAAGTCTTACACAGTTCTCATATCCTGGCCAATTGGAAATTGATATAGGACAATGATATATATGAAG